CTTTTCGTACTATCATGTTGCTGGCATTAATTTGCTCGTTGATTCGATTATCGTCTGTCGCTTGGATTTTAATATCGGATCGTTTATTCGTTCATGTGGATCGCCTATTTTGTTCATGTGTTGTATTCGTGAGTTTCGTGGATAATTGGGACTCTTGTTTATGAAAGTTGAACCTTTTATGTTGCTGTTGTGATGAATTAGTGTGATTTCGGTGTCTCGTTTTGTCGTTTAGAGTCGTCGTCTTGTTGTTTGGATCGTTCGTATCCCCGTCGTTTGTCTTGTATTGTTTTTGTCGTTTTGTTATCAAACCTTTTAAGCCCGGTTTCAAAATATATTTGCAAATTTATCTGAAAACGCATTATTTTTGTAAGTCTTGATCTAGTTGCCGTTAGATATGTCGTTGTCGTTTTCGGTCGAATAATTGCCCAGCCTGTTAGCAGATAGCAGCCTCTGTTCGATTATTTTCTGATAGCAGGTTTACCTTCAAATTCATTGATTTATGTTTTCAATTAGAACTGCAACCAAGCATGTAGCGCAGTGGTCATCTACGCTCTCTATTCCATGTGTGAGGTCGGGGGTGAGGTCGGGGGTTCTATCCCATTCTCTTGCGTATGTAATAGGCTTTTATTTTTATTAAGGGCCAGCTTCAGCGCGCGGGCCATAGGGCCCGATTCCAGCCCGCGACCTCTCAGCAGCTGAAGCCCGCGCCCTGGCCCGTAGCAGCACCCTTTGGGCTGGCAGCTGGCACCTATGCGCGGCCCAAAGCCGCGATCCAAGCCCAATTTCGCGGCCCAAGTGTTGGCAGTTTATGGCTAGTGTTTAAACAGTGCGGCCCAATTAATTTTTAGCCAATTTTTGTGTCCCGGAGTCCGTTTTTAATACCGATTTCAAATATAAAAATTATTTTTCAAAGGAGAAAAATTTGAGAAATTATTTTAAGTCCCGAAACTTCAATTTTAATTCTCTGAGTCCCATTTTTCTAAAGTGAGAGAGTTCCAAGTCCACGAAAAATCCGATTAAAACCCTTAAGTCCTAATTTTTATTAAGCATGGGTTTTATGTTTAATTCGAGTAGTGAGATAGATTATTGATATATTATCTTGCTTAAATGTAGGTGTTTGAGAAGTCGAGCCTCGACCTACGTTTCATTTCTTGTCGTGTTTTGCCATTTCGAATACCAGGTGGGTTTTAATCTAAAATTTGCTATGTTATAATTGAGGTAAGATTTTTATACTTTGTGTTCTATGAATGTATGTGTGAGTCATGAGACGGTTCCTATTGGTGGGCGATCTCCAACCTTGTGATAGGTAGACTCATTTTAGCCTAGTCAATGGGCCGTGACTGTTGATGTTGAACCTCGGCATGACTGTACTCCCGCTGACGAGTTTGGGCTTACCCCTGGCGGCTTTTGATAGGTGTGCACATGAGTATAGTGATGAGTAGGAGAGTGGTGTACTTGCATATGACTCTAGTATAGGATTCTTACCAATATATTATTCATAGTGGTGAGCACCTCGTTTATATTTGTGCTCATCCCCACCTGCTCTTCATTGATGCAGGTTAAGCACGTGTTGGGCATGACGAGACTGAAGACGAGTGGGTAGTCAAACATTATTAATGCTTTTTATTGCTTCCGCATGCTTTGATATTTATGATTATCAGACATTGTTATTGTTCCCTATCGATTTTGGGATTGGTTGAAGTGTTTGAACCATGTGGATTAATATTATCAGTTTGGATTATGTTGACAATCCTATTGCTAGATATGTTAAAATCTAGTCTTGGAACTTGGATTATGTTGGATATTCTTGTTTCCCTTATGCTGATTATGTGTTTACTTTGGAAATTTCAGTAACGCCAAATGTTTTATAAATCGATAAATGGTTTCGAAATTTTAAAACAAGATTTTTGGATAAGTCCAGAATTGTCTTTAATAAATCTTTGGGGCGTTACAATGGTGTTCCCGAAGTGAGCTCAAGAAGGATCATTATATCAAGCCCTGCAGGCAGAGTAAGTTCCGACATTATGCTAGGGCCATTGGGGAAGGGGCCTAAGCACACCAGATGCCGTCCACTTGAGTGGCAAAGGTAAGCGGTTAGGTTGAGTTTCTTTTCCATAGGACATAGGCGCGGAAGATCAAGTTGGTGAGCCGTGTGAAGGTTGATTAATTAAATTAATCTACGTATTAAAATTTTCATTTTTTTTGCATTGCCTATATAAGAGAATATAAAGAATTTTCAATTGTTTTTTACCGGTATGCACGTGTTGGTGCGGATCAAAAAGAAAGGGTGTTGTTAAATACCGCCCCCTTTTTAATAAGTACCGCCCCCCAAAAAGACAGTTTTACCCTTTTTAATATAAAAATAATTTTTTTTTTTTTG